TAACAAAAAGCTATTTATTTCTAAAGGTATAGTTGTTTTGAAAACTTTAAATTAGAGACCTTAGTCCCAATGCATTTATAGTTTGTATATCTTATGTGGTTCGATATACTTAGTTCACTATAAACAATGCTCTGATACCAATCTGTCACACCCCCAAACCAAGGATGGCGGAAACGTTCGGGGGTGGAGGACTTCATGTGCAGTATCACAACAACGTGTATAATAGTGCTCAAAGTAAATACAACCATCATAAATATAATTGAAAAAGTTACACCAAAGTATATGTTTACATGTTTCAAAATCAATTACATTATGATGACAAAAGTAAATTGTTGACGGTTTAACGTCCCATCCTCAAAGCGCTGAAGTTTTCCTGTTTCATTGATTTCTTGAGAATACAAGTAGTTTTGAAAAAGTGTCAACAATTAAGTTGGTGAGATCATAAGAGTTTTTTTTGAAGTAGAAACCGTTTTCCTTGTAAAATCGATATAGTTTGATTTCTAGAAAATTCAATATTTTCTTAGTTAAGAGTGAATATAAATATTCCTATATGATGCATTAATGAACCCTAGAATGACCCGTAGAGTTCCTCTATAATCGTCCAGCGTATATAAGTTATATAAGGTTTAAATTAGATAAAACGTTGAATATAGTGGGTCTGCCCTAGGTCCACAACCCAACGAGGAACAGGAGGTGAGGCGGGCACCAACAATTCTAAGCCAATCAAGACTAAATTCTTATATGACTCAAACATATACGCTCAGCGATTATAGTTGAAGTCTAACGATTCTAGATGAAATATAGTTTTAATATCATAATAACTATTTTAAGTGAACCTGGTACTTTGTATCGGTACCCCCTTTTTGTATAAAGACCCGACACTTTGTATTTGTACCCCTTTTTGTATAAAAACCCGGTACTTTGTATTTGTACCCCTTTTGTGTATAAACCCAACACTTTGTATTTGTACCCCTTTTCGTATAAAAACCCGGTACTTTGTATTTGTACCCCTTTTGTATAAAAACCCGGTACTTTGTATTTGTACCCCCTTTTGTATAAAAACCAGCACTTTGTATTTGTACCCCTTTTTGTATATAAACCCGACACTTTGTATTTGTACCCCTTTTGTATATAAACCCGGCACTTTGTATTTGTACCCCTTTTTGTATAAAAACCCGGTACTTTGTATTTGTACCCCCTTTTGTATATAAACCCGGCACTTTGTATTTGTACCCTTCCTTTTTGTACGAGTGTGTTATGTAAATGATCATAAACTATACCTATTATAGTTTATTAAAATGTTTGAAATGTATATGTACCCTAACTATACCTATTATAGTTTAGTATGTTTCTTTGTGGTGTTTAAGAATCCCATTCTTTGTAAGTCAAATGTATAGTACAATATAGCTATGTTTAACTTGCTTTGTTTTGTACTAATTATTATGATGGAGGATTCTTATAAATTCAGTAAGTAATTTCCTATTATAAAAATATATCATAACAATAAATACATGTAATATATGAAGTCAACAAAGACTTAACACTTTGCTCAACATGTTACAAAGTGTTTTGATAGTTAGAAGATGTTAACTAATTCTTAATCTTTCTGCACTGTTATAGAAAAATCATAGAAAAATCATACGAAATCGAAAATTAGATCCGTAAATTCTGAGAGTTCCTAAAATGAGTCTAGTTTACTCATAATTTTTATCATGATTTTTGGAAGCCTTTAACTTGTCTTAAAATGCTCATATTCACAGACTGGTCCGGATTTGTGTTTGAAAAGTCAAGCTGTTTTTGTAAAAATCATCATAAATTGTAGAAAAATCGAGTGGAGATGTGCATGTAGTCATTTTAAAGCTAAGAAGTGGAACTACTTGCACCTAAAACAGTTTTGAAAAATAAAATGTTTAAGTTGTCCAAAACAGTCCGTGAATGGAGTTTAACTTTTCTAATGAAGGCTGTTAGAAAAATTTAGTTATGTTCTTGGTGTTTTAAGATGTATTCCCCCCCCCCCCCTTAAAAACTTGAGAAAACATTAAAATGTAGGGGTATGAACTCACCTTAAGTGATTTCAGTAGATGATTGTTGAAGAATGGAAGTGTTTAACTCAAGAACACTTGGAGATGCCTTGAAGATTTTTGAGAATTTAACATCATAGTTATGGAGTTTGTGTAAGAAATCAATGATTTGAGTAGAATGAAGTGAAATAATCATAAGGAGGATGAATTATACTTACTAAGAGTGGAAGAACACTTGAAAATCAGCCTTGAATCTGGAATTTGGTGGAGAAAAAGTTTGAGAGAAAAGTTGTGCTTGATACTTAGTGAAATGAGAGCAAATGAGAGAAATGAGGAGAGAGGGTGTTTTGTTCCAGCTCTAAAAACGTGGGAATGAGTGGAAATTGAGTGTAAAGGACATTGAAGTGACCTAGGTAAGGTGGGGAGGCATGGCTGGTCATAGAGTGGGTGTGGGAGTGGTTGCTTGTGTAATAAGGTAAAGCAAAGTCAACACTCCACCTCTTTGTACTTTACCCACTAACTTTTATTATTTAAATAAAGATTTTTGATGAAAATATGATTAAATTGTGAATATTTAGGGTTCATTATGTGAAAATATAATTTTGGGTGAAAATCCCGCGTTAAAATAATTAAAAACGGGTCTTAAACACAAAGCTACGCGAAAACCGGGAAGAAAAATATTTCCAGCGAGACCTCTCGGTCCTAGGCCGAGGTTCGGTCCTTGCTGATGCTGAGCCGGAACGAAGGGAGGCGAGGAAGTGAGAGGAGGCGAGGAAGTGAAGGGAAGGCTCGGTTCGGAGATAAGAGGCGAAGGTGGTCAGACCCGAAATGAGCCGAATGAACAGTAGCCTTCGGGTTCGGTTCCTCCTGGGCTCGGGTTCGGGTCTCCTAGTTTCGGTCCTCCTGGTTTCGGTTCTTAGAAGGTTCGGTTCTAAGAGGTTTCGCCTCTTATAAGAGGGTTTCGGGTCCTTAAGCCTATTTTACTCGTTTTTACCCCGTTTTAAGCCGTTTTTGACCCGGTTAAGGGTCGGAATGACCCAAATGACTTCAAAAAGTTACGAAAACTTTTGAGAGAGATTTGGGAGAGATTTCACATACTTGGAGAGATTTCTCATACAAAGAGATATTTGGGAGAGATGTCACATACTTGGAGAGATTTCTCATACAAAGAGATATTTGGGAGAGATGTCACATACTTGGAGAGATTTCTCATACAAAGAGATATTTGGGAGAGATTTCACATACTTGGAGAGATTTCTCATACAAAGAGATATTTGGGAGAGATTTGACATTCTTAGAGAGATTTGGGAGAGATTTTTGATAAGAAGAGATAGAGTGAAAATGATTGAGAGAGGTTTCATGTGTGGCATTTGCTAGTGTTTGGCTTTGCAATGCAAGGTTTGTAAACCCTGTTAAGCCTTGTTTAAGGATCTTACACACTCCCAATGAGTATGGAACATTGTTTTATTGGTTTGGCTCACCACGTACCATAGTTTTAGGTTAAGGAGATCTAGATGTTCACACTTTTTGATTTATGATCTCTCATTAGAATAGGGAGTTGTTTAGTAAATACATAACGTAAGTCCTAAAATGCAAGGGTTAGCTGAGTTGACCGATTTGACCTGTTGACTTTATTTGACATTGAAATGACCAGAATTTGACGGTTATCACAACAACCATATCTGAAACTCACTTTCACTAAAACTGTGAAGAGCTGCCACAAAATTAGCCCCTGAAAACCATCTCAAACTCCTCCTGGAATGTGATCCCCTCTTCGTCTCTATCGTCAATGGAGGAGGTTTGGGTTCAATCCGAGCTTGCTTCTCCAATCTGAATATCCCTCTTCTCCGATTTACAAGTTTAGGGTTCATTTTTTGAGATTTGAAGGATGATCGGTGGTGGTTAGAGGAGGTACTGGTAGTGATAGGTGGAGGTGCCGGATATTAGAGAGACAGAGAGAGAGAGAGAGAGAGAGAGAGAGAAAGAGAGAGAGATAGAGAGAGAGAGAGCAGACTGTGAGAGAGAAAGAGAGTGACACAGATGACCGGTTGAATTTACAGAAGAAGAAGAAGAAAGGATTTTGTGGAAAGGGGAAGGGGTGGCTTGGTGGAGTCGGTCGGAGATGTCGTCGGAGTCGCCACTGTAGGTGGTGATGGTGGATAGGAGGTGTTTTGAAGAAGAAAGAGGGGGACAAGTTATGAACGTATGCTTAGGGCCCCCATTTCTTTTTAGAAGTTTTTTTTAAAAAAAAAAAATAATAATAATAATTACGTACAAACAAATAGAAAAATAAATCTAAAAAGAAATAACTAAGGGCAAAATGGTCTTTTTAGGTCTAAAGGGATGAAGAGTGCAACTATTAACCAATGTTATCAAGATAGAGATCCTACCTAGGATCGTTTTTGGGTTTGTAAGATCGGGATCGAGATCTTAAGATCTCACAAAATTAAATAGAATTTTAATTTATACATTTTAATCATGAAAAATATTTCAAACATTCAATTTTTTATTCAAAAGTTCTAAAAACTTCAAAATATTCGTCATAAGTCGCAATACAAAATGATAAATAGTAAATTGGTAAAGGGTAAAAGACATACATGAGTAAAAAAAATTTCATTCGCAAAAAAAACAAAACAAAATAAAATAAAAAATCAAGGGAATGTAGGACCCGATCGGATCTCAATCCTACGATCCTACCTACGATCTTACGATCTTACCTCAAATACGATCATTTTATGATCCTGATCGATTTTCATACCTAAGATCGTAGGATCTTACGATCAGGATCGCGATTTTGATAACCGTGTTTTTAACAAACGATGGACGATTCGAGTTAATTTTTAAAAATAGGGACTAAACGTGTTTTCTGACACCTGCATGAGGGACGATTGGTGTAATTTACCCCAATAGAAAAATATATATATTTCATAAGATAATTCTTGCAAAATTTACAAGTAAAATAGATTTTGTGTTACAAGGGAGTATTTGCCATTATCGGTTAATATTATTCCATTTATTCCTTTGTGATTCCAATATAACTCATTCCATTACAACGTAATAGCCAAACAAAACAATGTCCATTGCTTTAATTCACCCATGCCAAATATTACTCGGTACATTTAATTCATTCGTTATTTCATTCCATCCAACCCAAACACATCCTAAGTTTTAGTGAATTTGTACCTGTCACTATTTTCTACATTTTTATGACTATAGTTATTTGTATCGGCTGCATTTTTCTTTTAGACTGGGCCTCAATCGGCTTGGACCACCTTGATCAAAGGCTGAAAATGATAAGTTACAATGTTATCTAATATTATATATATGTTTTTGTTTTGTGATATTAATAGGATAACACAATATCCGTGTGGATACAAAGTGATTAAATAGTTACTAGATTCACGCCATACATATGACCATGTTTTTCATTTCATGTTTTATCTTCTTGTCTTTTAGATTTTAACAATTCTTTTCTTACAAACTCTAATGAACATGCGTGCTCTTGTTTATACTTCTATTACAAGAAGCAAAATGTACTTTTATTGATTTGTTTATTATAACGTGTTAATTACTTCTATTTTCTTATGTAGTTATATTACAGCATTAAAATTTGAAGAATCAACCTAACTAATGCAACATAAGTGAATAACAAGTTCAATTTAAAACATGCTAAAGTGTTAAACAACTTCAAGTCTTCATCACCATAAAAAGTTTAATAAGTTCAAAACCAATTTTCATTTTACGAGTCGTTAGACCTCCGCCTTACTGCCTAGGACAATTTCACAACATTGTAGGTCAGTAGAAAAAGAAACAATATTAAATCTACAAACAAAATTTGCACATAATAGTCATTAATTCATAACCGAATAAAGATCATCGTATTCACATGTAATTGTCTGATCTCTTTTTATCCACTCTGTTGATTCTCATGCTTGAAGTAATTTTATCTGTTGTATTGACTTTTTTTTTTTTTTAGTTGTTATGATGCGATCATTTTTCAAAGATCCACTGCAAGTCTAATACTCAACTTCTAGTGACTAATATCACACATTTTCTCACAAACCAAGATAATGGGAAAAACTACCTTGTATGAAAGCATCGACTATTATTTTGAGGATTATGTAGTTAAGGAATGTTCCTAGAACAAAAAATTGCAGGTCTTTCATGTAAAGATATATTAAGTATAGAAAGAAATAAATATTTGTTAATCTTACATCGTTTTTTCTTTATGTAAGGATCATTCACTGCACACTTTAGATATATGTTTCCATCCAATCAAAGACGCGAAGCATAGAAGACCAACCTGTGATGTTGTGTTGTCTGACTGTTTCTCTAGACAATGGTAAAACCTAAGTTTTACTTTAGATTTTATTTTCCATGTCTCGCTTGTTTATATGCTTGTTTATATAAAGCTTCGACAAAGAATCCAATTCTGAATCAACTAAAGGTGGATTCATCTTCTCTATCTTGAAAAAAACTGGTGAAATCTAAAGATGAGCGAAAACAAATGATGTGTAAGCAATTCATGTACTTTTATGTACACATCCTTATTTTACCCTAACAATATACATATTGAAGTAATTGATAAAAATGATATTAAAACTTACTTGCATTTTCAAGGCTTCCTTAAGTTGGAATGTCACCTTAGCAATTGTAGGTCGTTTTTCCCGAGTTTCTTGTAAGCATTGATATGCTATAGCGGAAAACATGCGTAATGTTCTTGGGTTGATAGCTTTCTTTATTCTGTGATCAATAATTATATCAAGCTCTCCATTTTTATAGGATGTTCGAGCCAAATGATGTAGGAATCGTCGCTCATCATGGTAGTTGAAAACACATGCTAGCCTTCCACACAAAACTTCAAACAAAACCACACCGAGTGAATAAACGTCCGACTCTTTTGTTAAAAACCCTGTTCTTTCATATTCGGGGTCAGTGTAACCATATGTGCCGGCAAGGTTAGTGATCACAAAGGTGTTATGTTGATTTGCTAAACCTATTCTAGCCAACCCAAAATCGGAAAGTTTTGCATTCCAATTCTCATCCAACAAAACATTCGCGCTTTTCACATCGCGATGTATAATTCTGTGTTTTTCGGCCACATGGTTATGAAGATAGTCCAATGCAGAAGCAACACCGATACATATTTTGAGGAGTTGTGTCCATGATAGTCTACCTGACATGGTAGTGTCACATATATATTTTTCAAGGCTTCCATGGCTTGCATATTCATAAACAAGGATCATCTCCTTGTTATCATCACAAAATCCTATAAGTCTTATAATGTTTTTGTGTTGATACTCGGAAAGCATTGCAACCTCTGTTCGAAACTCCTTGTTGCCTTGAAATCCGTTGACATCTAGCCGCTTTACAGCAACTAGTTGGTTTATATGATCTCCCCATGTGAGGATTCCCTTGTAGACCCTTCCATAACCACCCTTCCCAATGAAATTTTTGTTGTTGAAGTCTTGGGTACAATCTTTTATGACATGGAAGGGTAGTTTGAGGCCATTTGGCTGCTTCATTGCAGTATAATCTAGAATGATTAATATTGAACAACTATATACAAGACACCACGATAGCAATAATTTATGTTAATGTTTGATCAATAAGTAAGCAAAGACTATTATAAGACCTTATTAAGTGGATGGTTCTTATGTGAATTAACATGTGTAAATTTTAGGGACTATTCAGATTCACATTGTGGTTGTCAACAAACAAAAATATAAAAAAAAAAATTATATTTCATTTACCGATATAGATGTCCATTTGTAGAATAATGTCCTAAAATTAAAAATTTGAAAAATTGATATATTTTATTGTTTAAAATTAACTCCTAAAATTGAAAAATAATCTATGTTTTAGCATTATTTAGGTTATATTTGGGAATATTTACGAATCTCTCTCTCTCTCTCTCTCTCTCTCTCTCTCTCTCTCTCTCTCTCTCTCTCTCTCTCTCTCTCTCTCTCTCTCTCTCTCAATGTACTGTTGTTTGCTATAATCTTTTACATGTGTCCACGAATAACATTACAACCTATAAATTTTTATTGTTGATATTTTTGATCCAACAATAAAAATTGGTTCGTTGTTTTTTAGAACCCACATCCTACGAATATTTTATTTTTATTTGTATTAAGCTTTTATTTCATTTTTTTTCGAAACACATGTATATATGGAACTTCTTAGTAGAGTACAACGGATCATATATATAACAATGTTATATCCATTAGATCTATAGATCTAGTTTTCAAAAGAATTAATTTTATCATACAAATAAGCTTAGCGGTGTAACTTGTCGCATGTTCGCTTCTCATTCGTTATACGATAATAACTAAGATGTATTAACTTATTGTGTAAAAAAAACATGAGGACTTGTATTAGAATTTATCACAGTGTTGTTTTAACATGAAAATGGTCAACTCAAAACACTTTTGATTTGAGAAGCCAAAGAAATGATAGAATTTTTTGATAATTGCTAATCGAGGGAATCCTTCGATGAGGATCACCAATAGTTTGTTGAAACGTCCCACAGCGTCAAAAAAGATGGTGTAAGGAAAGATTGTTGACCTGATTGAGACGCATATCCGGAAGAGTGTTGGTGAGGTCAGCAGTGAAACCAATCCGTTTGTTACGATTCTTTATAAGACCATTTATCTTCCTCCATCTTAGTAAGGCGTCTTCGGAATTCTTGTTCAAATTATTCTCCATCCAGCTCAAAAGCTCAGTATCACTCCAGAAAACAAAACTACTTTCGCGTAATAAAAATCAAATCCCAGAATAATCATTAATGATCCCTGAAACAATAGTCAACAATTATATATAAAATAAAAGGAGAACGAAAAATGACAGTGGGAAATTAAGGAGAAAGTAGAAAAATGAAGGTAGCTTGACTTAAAACGTAGTCTGTAGAATAGGTAGTTTCGATTTCCTATTTAATTAACCTGGTGAATTAGTGAAATAATAATTCACCGAATTAATTAGATGTAGATAACAAGGAATAGATCAATAGAGAGATATTGTGTACAAGAAATAGATTTCAATTATCTATTTGAGAAAATACAGAGTTGATATAGAATCTGTTACAAAGGGCGAGGCACCTGATGCTTGCTAATTGATTCGTTTTTCACCTGGTGGCCATCCCACTCACAACAGCTCAACGATTTATTCTTTTAGAAATATCCTTTGCTTAGCGATATGTTTTTGACTATTTACTTATCTGTTATTCAATAAAAATATTAGTACCATAAGTACTTATCTATGATTTTTAGGCAATCGACAACTACAATTTTATAGTTTGGAAGTCTTTTTAATATCAAGTCGTTTCTTATTTTGAACACATTTTTCTCATGCTTTCTTTTCTTAACACAATAACACTCCGTAATCAAAAACCATAACCAAGATAGCTATGATATTAATTAATCTAAATATAAGAAATCAAACACTAAAAGGAACTTACACACACACACACTTTTTTTTTTCTTCCCTTTTTTAATATTTGTAATAAATACATATTATTATTATTATTATTATTATTATTATTATTATTATTATTATTATTAATACTAGTGACAACGGTGAGTCTAACCGTCGTCCTCAAAATTACAGCCGTCTAAACTCCACGTTCTTTCAATCTCGTCTGTATAAACTCGATTTTGGTGGTTGTCTGTGGTTCCAACAATCGGTTTCGACGACCCTCCTCCTTCTTCTCCCCACGTTTTACAACGGGCGATTAACTTGTAATTTCCCCCCTTCTTCCCCCCACGTTCTCTTCCATGGTTCTTTCGTATCCCCTTATCTCTCCAAACTCTGCATATAAATAGAGAAGATATTGATGCGTAACGCTGTTTTTTTCTCAAGCGAATGAGACTCCGGCAAGGGTGATAAGGCTCTTTGATAGCAACTCCTCTTGCGATTTGATCCTTTGATCAAGTATGAGCTGATGATTTCGACCCCGATTCACCACCAACTACTCTCTCTCTCTTTGTGTGTGTGTGTGTGTGTGTGTGTGTCTCTGTGAGGGAATTCGCGTAATTTCGTTGTTGTTGTAGATGTTGATTTGTACTTCAGATCGGCAAGGCGATGATAATGAAATGTAGCCTGGTCAAAATTGGAGTTTGGAGACCTGATCTGTATCTTGGCTGGGCAATTCGTAAGACATTTTTTGTGTTTGGAGTTATCTCTCTCTAAATTGACATGCATTGCAACTGCGATTGTATCCCTCACGGATTTAGGCAAAACAAACTCCATTACAATAGATCTGAGCCTCCTTTTTTGTTTTGTTTTGTTTTTCATAAGTAAGCATGCCAATTGTTTGTATTATACCCTCTATGTTTCTTTTGGTTAATCTGAAAAGTTAATTGTTTATTAATAATCTAAGAAGTCATGTTCACATGCATTGCTACCGATTTTGCCTTCAATCCTTTGTAATAACTCTAGAAGCAGCATGAGATTTGTGTATAAACGGACAGGTGTATCTTGCATCAAGCAAAATGTTTATATTGGGAAGTTTAGGTTACATGTAATGGGGGCACTTTTGTATATGTTATAAAGGCCAGAAGTTCTCTCATTCAATGTCCAATACCTTCTTGATTAAAGGTTCGTCTGGATTTTAATGTCAAACGCATAATTCTATAGAAGAAGAAATTGATGTGGTGAGGTTGTTTTTTTTAGAAAAAAACGACCTTGCAGATATGGTGCTCTGATTAAGAGAAATATTTGATTGTGCTTTCAGTTTTCTATAAATTTTCACGTTATTGTTTTTGATTTTAGGTTCTTTTATTGTTTGTTATTGATGTAGGTGATATGAATAACATAGCTAAAGTATGAAATTCAATTGTGGACCATTGGTTGACAATTTAAATTTCTTCAACATGTTTGTTTTGGCATATCTATAAGGTAATTACTGAATCTCATACCCATAAGTCATAACCGATACTATGTCTAGCAAATTTTAACTTCCTCATGAAAGAATGTGTGGTTTTCCCCATAATTCTTATATAGGGAGTTATTAGATACTATTTGTGTGTGTCCTCATGAAATTAAGGTTGTTTGGTTATACTTTTTTTTAATGAATTTTGCTAAATAATTTTTATCATTATTGTTCTCTGATCGTTTTTTATTTTGGACCATTTTCCCCCCTCCATTTGTATTGAAATGTTTTCGTGTTGTTGTATCTTGTCTGATCCACACTTTCAATCAGATTTTGAACCCCTTAAAATGCTTAATAGATTAAGCACTTAGTCATGAAAGTTGTTTGTTGGAAATAGTAGCATTGTACTTATATTCAATAAAAATTATGTTATTTGTTCTTATTTAAGCGTTGTACTTTCAAATATAGCATCATACTTTAATTTTTATTTCATATTTAAAAATATATATGTTTTTTTTCTTATTAAACCATTGTACTTTCAAAGTACAATGGTTAAATAAGAAAATAAAACAACAAATTAAAAAAAAAATGAAGATTTAGAAATAAATGTTAAATATATTATTAGACAAACAAAAAAAAATATAGATTTTACAGATCACCATTTAAAATTATAACAGATTCCTAATTCGTTTAAGGATTTTGGACCATTTTACCCCTCATACATCATTTATGATATTGGACCATTTTACCCCATCTCTCCCCATTTTTATTGAAATGCTATATCTGTTGCCAAAGAAAATATGAATAAGAAAAAAAAACATAATTTTTTTTGAAAATATGATGCTATATTTGAAAGTACAATGCTTAAATAGTTTATTGTTTTACCTTTATTTAAAATACAGATGTGATACATTGATTTATAAAAGTACTTGCATATCTAATAAAAGTAGTTTTGCAGGTTTTGTTAGCAAAACTTGTGTTTTCATTAGCACTAATTTGTTCACTCCTACATTCTAATCATTTTTTTTTAATTATTTATAATATTTCAGTGCATAATTATTGTTGAACTTGCAATTCCATGTGAGAAACCAGGTTTACGAGTGTTTGAAGGATTCACAGTGGGTTTTCATCCAAGATCATGGGAAATTGTGAGAATTTATATAATATTTTATAAATCATGATTAATTTGAAGTTATGTTGTGAGAATTTATATTATATTACAGGTGAGGAGACGTACTTCCATTTTTTGGTTCTTTAAATTAAAGTTTTGTTAGAAAAGTACTATTTTACCCTTTGTCTACTTTATTGCGGCTTTGATACAGACCAAAGTGATGTATCACTCTATATGACATCAATTGCATCCCTTTCACATTAAGTAAAAAAATTATCAACTACATGTATTAATTTTGTACAATTATAACATATTCCTAATTCGTTTTAATGATTTAAGACCATTTTACCCCTCCTGCATCATCTATGATTTTAGACATTTTTACCCCTCCTCCCCCATTTGTATTGAAATGCTTATCTATTGCCAAAGAAAATATGAATAAGAAAAAAAACATAATTTTTTTAAAATATGATGCTATATTCGAAAGTACAATGCTTAAATAGTTAATTGTTTTGCCTTTATTTAAAATACAGATGTGGTACATTGGTTTATAAAAGTACTTATATAACCGATTCATTCTTACCTTTCTCATCCAAACACAATAACAAAATAAAAACAAAAGATTTAAACCTCCTGCCAAATTAATCAGACAAACAAAAAAAGGTACATTTTATTTTATTAGTTCTTGATTTATCTTTAATAATCCATCCTTTTATTACCATAATCAACAATGTTCTTTAAAAAAAATATATATGTATTACTTTTTTACAATTATATTAAATTCCTAATTGATTTTAATGATTTAGGACCATTTTACCCCTCCCCCCATTTGTATATAAATGTTTTCGTGTTGTTGTATCTTGTTTGATCCACACTTTTAATCATATTTTGAACCCATTAAAATGCTTAATAGACTAAGCACTTAACTTTCAATCATATTTTGTCTACCTGTCCACCGGACGGGTATGACACTAGTTATTTTTTGTTTGGACAATCCTTGTATTTTTATTTATTTTGTTAATGTTTGGTATTATTATTATTATTATTATTATTATTATTATTATTATTATTATTATTATTATTATTGTTACTCTTTTTCCATTCAGATTATTTTTGTGTTATGTTTGTAACGTCCGAAAATTCCACCCAAATTTTTTGATTAAAACTTGAAGTATTTTGAAACGACCCAAAAATACGACCCAAAAATTTCGTTTTTTTTCAATATAACCAAAACCATAATCTGAGTGTCATATCATAAAACCATACGTGATGTATCCCAAACATAATAAAAACACTGTGCGGAAAACTGTATCATACTATGTCAAATGAAAACAAACTAAATCAATTCCCAGGATAAAAGCTAAAGCTGTGGTGTGTGCGATGCTATCACCCCGAGCTCTTTCCTTTGCTTGCGGAAGTACCTGAAACCAAAACTGAAACTGTAAGCACGAAGCTTAGTGAGCTCCCCCAAACTACCACATACCATACAATATATAAATAAGCACATACTGGGCCTTGCCCACTGCATCAGACCGAAGTCCGGAACTAACTGCATCGGACCGAAGTCCAGAACTGACTGGGACCTTGTCCCCTGCATCAGACCAAAGTCCGGAACTAACTGCATCGGACCGAAGTCCGGAACTGACTGGGACCTTGTCCCCTGCATCAGACTGAAGTCCGAAACTAACTGCATCGGACCGAAGTCGGAACTAACTGGGCATAGCATAG